ATGAGGGCCCACACCAGTGTCTCTGAGCGTGCCCCACAGGCGTCTGACAATACCATGCCGGTCTCTAAGGACCCCACAAGACTTCTTCTGCCGGCCTAAGGGCCCCTTGCCGATCACTGAGAACCCCCTGCCGGCTTGTAGAGGGTTCGCGTCAGCAGCTCAAAAGACCCCCACACCCGTCTGTAACGGCTCCACACCAGCGTCGAGGGCCCACAGCAACGCCTGTAAGGACACTCACCGGCGCCTCTGAGAGAATCACACTAGCACCTCTGAGCGCCCACACCGGCACCTGCATGGCGGCCCCACACCAGGACCTGGCTCTGAGGGCCCTACGTCGGTGATTCTGAGGGTGTTATCGATAACCGAAGGCACCACACAAGCCCTTATGTGTCGCTGAGCTTTAATCCCATACCGGCCTTCCGAGGGCGCTACGTCAGTGCACTCATTGTCCCACATCCCTCCCTCACACCCGGAGCGAGTAAACTGTGTTATACCTAGGTATAGCAACGATTTTACCACCGTTGTACGTTATGTATTTCTCAAAGTTGACTCAAAATGGTCCAGTATAAAATTTGGCATGCTAAACTTATGGCCAAGGCCAGGCCCAAACCAAAGCGGGATGACAATAGCAGATGTTGTCAAATCGATACTGTATCAGCCGAAACCATTCAGATGGCAAGAAAAAGGCCGTGTGTTGATGTTTAAATGTATACCTAAAGGAAACAAGAAGGAAATAAGTCCGAAAAAGGGAGGAATGATCCTTTCACGCTGCCTCAATGTTGAGGGGGCGTCGCCCCCTCGGCTCTCAAGTTGGGGGGGCAAGCGCCCCCGCTGCCCCCCCCTGTTCCCGGGTCTATGATAAGTGTTACTTTCGAGAGGAGATAAACGATGCTTCTACAGACTGCATAGGACCACAGCGCAACAGCCAACGGAATCACACTGAACAGTGTTAAGTTCCCACAACATACTGAGCTTCTCCAACACCTCGCAAACCAAAAGCTCTGACTGAGCCTTTCTGTGTTTGTCCCCGTTAGATAACGGTATGGCTCATGAAAAAGCCGCGATTGGTAATCTGGTAAAGTTGGTTCTGCGACACCTGAGCGAATGTCATTTCAGCGAACGACATTTGAGCGAAACATTTTCAGCGATTATCAATTTAAGCGATTGGCTTTTTCAGCGATTGTCAAGTCGGCGAATTCAGTCACAGCGATTATCAACTTAAGCGAGGACCAGAATCAGCGAAACCAGATTGAGCGAATATATGGTCAGTGGGAGACCAATTGGGCGATGCAGTTACAGCGAATGACCGAACGCGACGAAAGTCAATCATTTGCTACTTTTCGGAAATTATTGCACCACTTTACGCATCATTTGAATTTTGAGGACACATATGTACATCGGACGACCAACAAGGGGTGCATGGGAGGGAAAGGAGGCGGGCAAAATTTGAATTGAAAATGCGGAACGTGAGAGGTAGGGCGACGGAAGGAATGCCAAAGACCAATAATAAACTAGAGAGATGGCACAGGGGAATCCAGTCTATGTTTCAGGGACCTCGCCCAAATATCTGGACATTCGTACGGTGCTTGGGGCAAGAACAAATTTTACAACATGGGGAACTGATCCAAATTCAAGCGGGGCAATTTCGCGAAAAAAGCAAAAGCAATATTGATCTCTGAACAAACGTTTGGTCACCATTATTGACAAAGAGCAGGGGGTGGGGGAAATTGAACCGTTGGAATTTTTGACAAATGTAGCATTAAATTTGGAGCTCAATGTCTGACCTTTGAACGCGCGACATCCGCCATCCAGTTCCGGATAACCATGAGAAATTCCGGAAACATTCGTACGGATACGCTCGCAAAGAAAAAAATCCACCGTTACAGGACGATGAAATGTTTCGCTGAACTGACAGTCGCTCAAAGTGTAGTCGACGAAATAGATGTCGCTGAAACATAGCTTTCGCTGAAATTGATAATCGCTATATTTGACAATCGATGAACTTGATGATCGCTGAATTGCCATTCGCTGAAAATGGTTCGCTCAAATGACGTTCGCTCAAATGACATTCGCTAAAGTCGCTCGCACCGTGGTAATCTTCTTTACGTTATTCCTCTCAGAAACCTATCTCGCACTTGTTCTCAAAGGCACGCAGTACACCGTTCTTTCTGGCCATCACTGAGTGACACAGCGACTTTCATGGGGCGGAGGACTTTTTATCAGCTCACAACTTAATATCATGAATATGACAACCTTCTAGTCCTCCATTTATTTCAGATTTTCTTTTCAAACACCATATTTTTAGTATTCAAGTTGTAGTTTTTTAGGGGGGGCAAAAAGATATGTTTGCCCAGAGGTTTTCCGTTTAGGGGGGGGGCAATTGCCCATTTTGCCCCAACGTAGATCCGCCACTGCAATTACTACGTGGTCATCGAACAGCGCAGTCGGCGGTGATTAAAAGGGTCAGACGCTGAACATTTATTATAATCCAGGCTAGTGTCGACCGGTAAATCAAGAACGGTTGAACATCAAATAAGTCGTAACGCATTAAAAAGCGGATGAACATTCCTATATCATCCTTCACTTCGTTCAGAACTTACATATGATGTCGCGCATCTGCGGGTCCAGCGTGGTGATCATAGAGTCCATGGAGGTGCGCGCGCGCTCGGCCACCTTGCTCAGCACGTCGCTCTTCTGGACCGTGTCTTTGATCCAGCCAAGCCACCCCTCGCCGTGCGCCCCGCCTCCGCCAGCGGGGTCTGCAGCCCCCGCGTACGAGTACGGCGTCTGGGCGTAGTCGACGGTGGCGCCGCCAGCGGACGACATCGGCATCACACTGACGGCGGAGGTCAAAGTATGAGATATAGCATGGTTGGTCTGGTGCAGTTATCAAGCTAGGCCTTCGGGTGGATAGTTAGGCTACCCTGAATCATAATCACATCTTAAGTTTGATTATTCACAGTCAGTTTGAGCCGTCATTTATACGAAGAAATGAATGCGTCATTATGCATATGATCCGCATGAAGTGCATTTAATCCGTGACATAACTTTGTCACGTCAATTTTTATCACTTTATCAATGCCAATTCAACTCATGATAGCAAATCCTTAGACATATCAAAATCACGGATTTCAAAATATTTCAATATCCAGAACCACAACCTGTTCAATCATCACATCCCCACACTTTGATCTTAGCCATGAGTCACTCCAATGCAGCCCAGTGGCTGGCTTGCGTGTACCACACATCGGTCACCACTGACCTGACGCCGCCCAGCTGAGAGTCGGGCATCGGAGGCGCCCCGGTCACTGCTCCCGTCTGGTAGAGCGGGGCGGGGCCCGCGCCGCCCGTCGTTGGCAGCTCTGAAACGAACATACTTCCGCTTAGGAAAATGACCAGCTGAAATTTGATATGGATGAATGAACACTGAACGTAGTATTAAGAGGCAGCATCAAGATGCTTCAGCTATTTAAAAGCATAATGGTACCTGTCATAGACCGATTGTGGCATAATCTTGAAGCAAAAGCTCGAGTCTTCTTACAGGTCAGTGAACATACCTGGCGGCGCCACGTAGCGCGGCCGGGAAATATGACCGGCGTACGAGAGCGGCACGTGGTGGCCGGTGCCGGTGGGCGGTGGTGGCGGCGGGCCAGTGGTCGGCGGCGGACCTCCCACCGGCGGCACGGGCACCGTACCGGCTGGCTGCAGCGATGGCAGCGGCGGCACCGACTCGTTCAGAGCCATCATGCCCGTCGGGATGGTGCGCAGCGGCGGCGGGTGGGCACTGCCTGCGGGTGGGGCCACGCCCACTGGCGGTGGCGGCATGGCAGAGGCTGCCGGTGGTGGCCGCAAGGAGCCCGCAGCAGGCAGTGCGGAGCTAGCAGTGGGCGGGGCAGCAGAGGTGACAGCTGCAGCTGCGCCAGCTGGTGGCGCCACTGCTTCAGAAGCTGGTGGCGGCAAAGGAGCTGCCACAAATGATGGCAGCACAGCTGGTGGGGGCACATTGGAGAGAGGGTTGGACATCCTGAAATAAATCAATACAGCAGTCAATATAAGATACTTCAAATAATGAAAAGGGAAAAGTAGAGACACCAGCAGACAGCAGTAGGTACATGTCACACACATTGACATGTCCTTAACTAGTGAAGCCCACTGCAACTTTCAGCCCCTAGACCTCCTGAGACCAGAATACAAAATATGGTAGGTGCCTAGGTACGTAAGATGCAATCATATCAATGTCGGGTGCTAACTGGAACACTTGGACTTTTTACAGTGTGGGGCAGCTTTCTTCAGTGTTACACATTGACATGTTTGGAATAAGAGCATAGCAGGGGAGGCCCAAACTGCAAACATTAGTGAAAGGTGACACACGTACCCACGGCAGGTGAAATAGTTATCAACTATTGAGGTGCAATAGTTATCAGAGTAAGCAAGTAGGTAATGCCTTCATATTTGCACTATGGACAAACATAATCTTGAAATACTGTGGAACTTCATGTAATTCTTAAGTCAACGTAGGACCTATCTACATACATATACGTACCTACCAACCTACCTACTTCCCTAAGTTAGCTTAAGTTAGCCACTATTAGGAAATTCAAAATGTCATAGAGTAAGGAAGCGAGCTATAAATTAAACCCACCTGCTTGACCTGCTGCTTTAAATTTTTCAGATTGAGATAACTTCTCTTCTGTCGCATCCAAGTGTACGTTGATGTACTCTATAGATGGCCTTGGATGTACTATTGGCACCAAAATCCTAATGGAAAAAGGCAAAGCACGATGTGGGAAAAAGGATGGGAAAAAGTGTTGACGTGGGTCACCAAGGGAAAAACCGGAAAAACAACAATTCCTGTTTGAAAATTAGATGCCCAGCTACATTTGTGCATTTCAATTGGTAATTTGAAAATATGCGCAAGGTGATTTGCTATTTTCCGCTTACGCAAGCGTCACTTTGATAAGAAAACACAGAAACAAATATTTCCAGTAATGACGCTTCTTGGACAACTAATGCGCACTCCGACGGAGACTGCTTCTGTTTTTCTTTTTTCCATTTTCAAGGCCATTTTTCTTTGCATTGGAGAAGCTCACTGGGACACTGTTGCAAAGTTGCAGTAATTAACTAACAAGTTTGACTGGGCATAAGGTAAGCATTCATTAACCCTATTCCTGGCGGGGGGGGGCCTCAGGAGCCCCCCCCTGAGGTTTTTTGGTTATTTCTCCCAAACGCGTTGAGCTAGGAAGCTCAAATTTTCTGACTTTTCCTAAAAGGCTTCTACGCAACATGTCTGAAAATTTTGAGTTGATCTGACCTCAGGTCAGGTCACCAGAGGCGGTTTGGTGACCCTACCTCAGAAAAGTTTGCAATCACGCCAGAGCTAGAGTTTTTGACCGATCAATTTCTTCTCTTCAGGCTTTAGTTAGGGTACCAGTATGTGCACTTTGTATATCTCGGAATTTTGATATCGGTGACCTAAGGTCAGGTCAGTTTCGCGACCTCCCCATTATAAGTCAATGGGGGAAAAATCAACTTCCTGTTTTTACCACTAAAACGGGTCGGAATGGCCCCATATACCATACATGACTTCATATACGATCAACCTTCACTACCTTGAGGTCTGTTTTGCTGTTGGGCAGCTGTGAGGTCATGTGATGTCATCAAAGGTCACCAAAGGTTTTTGGCCAATACCTCCGTACAGGAACAAGATACAGACGCGTGGATGGTCTCATTGTGTTCAGCTCGTCAAGACGCATCGAATGATATACATGATGACCTCGAGGTCACGTGACCTGAGGTCAACCTTTGACCTTGACCTTTCGAGGTCAACATATATATCATTCGATGCGGATTGACGAGAGGATCACGATGATGCCCTTAGTTTGTTCCTATCTTGACTAATTCGAAAGTTATTCGAGAAAAACTCTCCCTATCTAGCGCCGCCATTTTGACTTTTTCGACCCCTGTGATGTCATCTTTGACCTGACCTGAAAATGACCTTAGTAAAAATTGTAGATCTTGACCGTGCGTATCCGATGCCGTTTACCGTTTGTCGCTGCGATGTGTAGTTTTTGAGATCTGAAGGGGGGGGCCGAATCGGCCCCCCCGCCAGTTTCTTGTCCCGGCGGAGCCCGCCAGGAATAGGGTTAATGGTATACATTCTATGACTATATCTTTGAAAGCTGGTTGCCTTTTTCAAGTTTGTACCTATCACTATCATAGCTATGGATCTCGGCAGAGTCAGTAGAGTAGGTAATATTAAAATGCAGTTCGTTGTTGAAGAGTTAGGGTGCGCTAAAAATGAAGTTCACTATTTGGACAATTTCATGACAGTAGTATTTGTCGCCTAGTTGGTGAGCCTGACGCAGTTATAAATAGCTGAGTTCAGATATTTTGATCGTCTAATTCTTGTCTCAGTCTAGGCTGTTTAACTTTAGCTTTATATAACATTAATTAAATTAATCAGCATGCAGTGTTTAATCATTGACCTAACTTTGTCCACTCAAGAGAAGAATAAACTAGCTGACCCCCCACCCAAATTCTGCACTGTATACCTATTGTATATATGAGGGTGAAGTGCCGTCACAGTCAAGTCCCTCTTACCTTAACCTGCCTCACCTGCTAACAGCTGAGTGGGACTGTTGGTATTTTCTATTATGCAAGCAAATTAAAAAATTAAAAAAACCTTCATTGGTAATTGTTTAATCTCCAGCACATCATTGTAAATAAGAGAGAAGGTAAAAGAAAACATAAAAATGAATGGGGGCATTAGTACATAGTGTATGTAAGACACAGTGTACAAAGTACATAGTGGGGGCATTGGATTTACCTGTAACCAATGTCCCGGAGTCTTGCCTGCACCTCCTGGAAGTCATGGGACACACTACACACTACACAGTGTATGGTAATTGGTAGGTACCCAATTTTAGGTGTCAGGTCTACCAATGACCTCCAAATTTAGTTGAAGAACTGAAAGTTTGTTTTTTTTTTCTTGGCACTAACTTGCAAAATTGGTCTGGGCCATATCTGGTTTTACCCTGGCTAGCTCTGGCACATACTCCGGCCAAAGTACGGGCAAGGTCTAGAGCTCTAACTGGAGGTGACACTTTATCTTGGAGTCGCCCGCATCAGCCGCGCCGCACCGCAACCGTACTCTAGCCACAGTAAGCCAGAACAGCTACGAGGCAGCCGAACCTGGCCTTAGCACGCCGTGGCAGGGAGCCGGACCTGTGCCGGAGTTGGCGGTCCGAAACCATACCAACCCGGAGCGTTACGGCAAAGACTGGCCAACCGGAATAGAGCCATATCGACCCTGTTCCGATGGCGTTCCGTTTACACCGGCCCAAATCTGGCGTTATATCTGAGTTGCCGGGGCAAAACGGACTTGAGCCAAACCAAATTGGTAGCTGGGTGAGTAGAGCAGCCATGTCAAATGCTATACTTTGTGACGGGGAAAGTCAATTGGGTATGTAAACATCTGGTCCGCGCAGGCTAACAGCGTTGGCTTTGCTGATAAATGGCGAGTCTCCATTTTTCTTTTCATGGTTTACCTGGGACTCAGTTGGCACACATCCTTACTTTCAATGGGTACCTACCTACCTGCATTGTATTCATGCTTCGTTTTTCATTGCATGGTGATAATTTCCTCATTTGAAGTTTGAAGAAGCGACGAGGCCCCCAAAGAGCAAAGCGTCGTGAAGATATTTTCCTGTCGGACGAGAATTTTACACCGTCGGCCGTAAAAAGTGGCTCTACACTTCCAATTATGCATGCAAGGCGGAAAAACGCACTACTGTCGCCTATGTTTGGTATAATACCGGAGCTCCTTGGTACTCCACAATACCCTCATCAAAGCAATGTTTTAGTACTGCAATGTTGGGCGAGTGACTAAGGAGTGTAGCCCGACCGCTGCCAGTGCGGCCGTGGGTAACACGAGCGTCCCGTTCCAGAGATGGGCCTGCCGCGCCTGGTGTGGATCCGCGTGAAGGCGGCGCTGGCCTGCCTGTGGGCGCTGGTCGGCCGCGCCTTCTGCTGCTTCAAGCGGCGCAGGAAGCTCTCCAACGTGGGTCTGCCCATCTCCGTGGACGTCCAGTCGGTGCCCGTGGCTCAACAGGAGGTAGGTCCGGTCGGTGCCCCTGTGTACCCAGCCAGTGGTAGGTCCGGTCCAGTGTATATGGTCCAGCCGGTGCCCGGGACCCAGTCGGAGGTAGGTCCGGTCGTGGCTCAGCCCCGTATGTCCCCGGACCTCGTATGTATGTATGTATTGTATGTATTTACGATCGTGGGCGATCCACACATGGCGTGGCGATTACTGCCCCTCGACCGCCGCCGTCACATAATCGGAGGAAAACCGGACACATAGCCGGAAGCAGACTCAGTCACTAGTTCGTTACATGCTGGAGCACACCATTGATGGGGTGAATCATGAGTTCATCTTTTCATTTGATCTCAATTTTTGTTGTTGCGATGAGCGGAGATGATAGTTAGCTTCACAAGCTTTTTTCTCTGTTAAAGGTCCCCAACTTTATTATTGCCTACGGAGTGGTACACATAGTACGCTGACCGTCTGGAGGTGTCATAAGCTTCAACACACGTTTCGGTGGCATTGTCGTTTAAAGAAATCATCTCTGGTCTGGTAAATCGCCAGGATTTTTTTTTCTTCAATAAATGCCGGTCAACGTCTAGAATAAATCGTGTAAATCGAAGACCATAAAAACGGAGGTCACGAGTAAGTCTTCATCTAAGCCGTTTTGTCGAGGTTGTCTGTGACATTGTTCCATTGAAATAATTACAGATATTTGACCTTTCTTTTGCTGGATAGATATTCAGATATTTTGCAAATTGAATTGTATTTTTTAAACTAAAAGCTTTTTCGTTTTATTCCGCCGCGAGTTTTGGAGCGCGTCGTCAAAAAGCTGCATTGCGCAAGAAGTTTCCGTCCAGAAAGCTCTGCTGCGTCGCGCTGGTGTCGAATTTGTGGCGGTCGCACCGGTGCTGTGTCCGGCGGCGCCAGATGTCTGCCGAGCCGCAGGCCCCGCCGCCGCTGCTGGAGGGTCGGCTCGTGTTCGACCACAGCTCAGAGGCGGACTCTGCGGTGGCCGACCTGCTGCACGACGAGCTGTTTCCGTCGGAGCCGGTGGACGAGCGCCGGCCGCTCTACGCCCACCGGCCCGGCGCCGAGTCCCCGGCCTCAGACGGCAGCACCGGCTCAGACGGGGAGCAGGAGGGAGGCGGCGGCAGGGGCGCTGCCGTCTCCGCCGAGCCGTGGGTGGAGGAGGCCACTGATATGGCGCCGCTCGGGGACGAGCTGCAGCACGAGCATGACGAGGAGCCACTGTGCGCCGCGGCGCTGCACGTGCTCGACCGACGCCGGGTGATTCGGGAGCGGTTCGCGCGGCGACAAGCTGCCGTACGCGAGCTGCAGCGGCGCTGCGGCCAGCGGCCGGCGCGCGGCGCGCCCGCCTGGAGCCCGCCGGTGCTGGTGTACCGTCCGCCGCCGCTGCCGGCCGTGCAGCGCCGTCTGCTGGAGCCCGGAGAGCTGGCCGACACGGTCCCCGAGCCGGCCAGTCACACCCGCCGGCAGATAGCCGAGTTCTGCCGCCGACACCTGGGACCCGAGGGGGCGGACGACACGCCCCGGTAGATGACCGGAAGGAGATGCGAGCGACAATAAAGACAGATTGAAGTAATGGCATGCTGTAATTGGATAGTACATGGCACATGTCAACACTGATGATATATTGGACAGGTTTTAACCGGCTGATGGCTTGCTTGTTCCGGAATTTCGTGGTTTCCGGCCGCTGAGTTTCTTGGACTTATAGATCGATGAACGGGATCCAGTCTCTGAACGGGTTTACACCGTTACGTCCATTGGTCCCCTGGTTTTAGTCGTGATCGGTGGTTTTGTGTTTAATTGCCATTCATAGCGGTCTTTTACTTGCGAGCAGGCATCGGTAGGATTGTGATTGCAGGATTGCAAAATCCTGATTGCATTCCTTTTTGGTGGATTGCACCTGGATTTGAAATCCATTCCAAAAAAACAGGATTTGATTGCGGATTGGATTGCATCATACTTCCAATTTTTGCAGTCCCTCCGGATTGTGTTTGATTAGTGCTTTGAAATGGTTTGTTGCGATTGAAAATTATGAGATCGGCTTCATCGGCTTAATGTACTTTGCTATCAAGGGCTTTACATCGAAACTTGAAATAATTTAAACGCTCAAAATAATATACGCTGATGAACTACATAGGAAGGGCAAAATTACTTATTTGAGGGCGAGTTTTAAAAATATAAAACTGGTTGGGTAGAGGTTTAAATGTGGGAGTGTTTGAGGCAAAAAATATTCCCCATAAAATACCTGTGCCTTAGATAGGAATTACTCGCAAGACTAGGTACTAGAAATGGGTGATATGGGGATGGAGGATTCGGCCCTATGCCCCCCTCCCTCCCTCAGATCCACTAGTGCACATAATAATACAACAGGATTGCAAAAAAGGATTGCTGATTTGATCACAATCCAAGTGAAAAAAGGGGATTGCGGGTAGGAATGCAATCCACTTCGGCACTAGGAATGTGGATTGGGAATGCAATCCTTTCAAAAAGGATTTTTCCGATGCCTGCTTGCGAGTTATAGTGACAACGTAGGTATGTCTTTCTTATGTAGTTCTTCCGAAATAAAGAAAATCTGTGTAACTCGTTTTTCACTTGGAATATCCTTTACTTCCGGCGAAACAGCTGTTTGCTAACTAAGGAAAACGTACTGTTCAACTTCAACCGGCTTCTCCTTAAGCTATTCTGCTGTAATATGGAACAAGTAGCTTTATCCATTAGACGAATTGTGTATCTCACTATTTTAACAGTTCCGTCGGTTTTGACATCCTCCTGTGTCTACCTAACTAACAGGAGGACACGGCTGTCACCTGGAGCTGGGAGGATCAGCCCACATCCGTAGTCACTGTTCAGGACAAGATCCGCGCCTACCGCGACTCGAGGGCGCGCGTCTCCGAGTCGGAGCCGGCACCGGAGCCGGACTTCTTCTCGGTAAGTCCAGTTTGACCTAGCCGCCCCTTTCTCGGTGTTTCAGTCGTCGGAACCCGGATTTTCAGCAACTCCACCCTAGTGATAATTATTTGGCATTTAGCCCGGACTCGGAGCGATTTTTGAGGAGACATTTTCACTCGCTTTCGATGCTTAATTACCTGGCATTTGAGCAAACGTTTTCTTTACTCTCTCATATTCCTCCGTGTGACCGGTGTGCCGGTGACTGTTTTCCAGGACATGGCCCCGACGATCCGCCGCTCTCAGAAGGTGCTGGTGGCGCCCCAGGATGAGCCTCAGACGGCTCCCGGTGGCTTCTCCTCGCGTCTGGCCTACACGGACACCGCACTGGAGCCGCAGGTAACTCGGGGTGCGGACATTGGAGTGCTGTGCCTACCTTACTTGGCGGCTTAAATGGTTGCCTCTATTTACTGTCACACGCTCTGGTTTAGTTGGGCCGACGCCTGTGAGTGCTGGTCTGCCCTGTCGGCTGTCCGTGGTACTGACGCTTCCCTCTCCGTCCGCCAGGGGGCGGAGCTGACTGACCTGGAGGAGCCCAGCGCCTGGGAGGCGGACGACATCAACCCTGACGCCCTGGAGAACCACCAGAGGGCACTGCGCCACCAGCAGCTGCAGCAGAAGCGGGAGCGGCGGGGCGCGCCGCCGGTCCGGTGACCGGAGACCGGGTCACGGCCACAGGTCACCGCGCCGGGTCATCGGACGGGACCGAGCCGTCGGCAGGTGACCTGACGGAGGGTCACGACCGAGGGTCACCCGACCCGGGAGGGTCCATCGAGGCCACTCGTAGATAGCTGACACAGTCCATCGAAAGCGGACCACACAGACGCTCCTCGCGCGGCCTGCATTCCTCTGTAGCGCGTGAACTGAGCTTTGGACGACTGCGAGGCGCCGGCGGATAGTGGACCACCGATGGCTCGTCGGGACGGCGTTTGGCGCCCGGGTGTGAAGTAGTCGGCTGATCGGGCGCAGGGTGTGGACAGAGTGAAATGTGCGACGTTTGGTGCGCGGAATTGGCTTGGAATGTAGCGAGAATGGAGGCGCCGGCGGCGCTCAGAATATGTGACGCTTGTTCGTGGTTCTCGTGGTGTTAGTGTCGCCACCGATAATGTTTAATGTTTTTGCACCGTTGCTTTGTCGTGTTGCAGGTGGTGTGTTGTTTTAGTCATCTGCCGACGATTTGGTGATCAAATGAGGGATTTCAGTGATTTCCGAGACGTGAGATGGTTGTGCCGACTGCCGCCCCGCGGTGGTGTTCTCTAATTCAGCCGCTGTGGGGATAAACAGCTACTGTGTAGTCAGATGTGAATGTGATCGTAACAATGGGGCTCATATATTACAATACAGACGATTGGTATCAGAAACTATTAATTGTAGTGCTGCGAAGATTTCTTTTTATCGTTTCTGTTGCACAATTGTTGTTAATAGATGCAATTCTGGGTGAATCGGGCCGGGGTGTCCGACTCATGCTAGTGTGTTGATTGAGGCTGTCATTCATTTGTGAACTGCTGAATTGCTAGCCGAAAGGAGGATCTATGGTTAGTGGAGACAGAAGCTCGCTGTTCCTGTTACGTGAGTTGGGTGCATTGTAGGTGTCGGTAGTTAGGGGAGGGGAACGTGTTAGGGGAGGGGAAAGACGTGTTACTAGGGCCACGGGGCTGGTGTGTTCTGTCTCTGGGTCGGCTTGCCGAACCGTGGACGCGTGGGCAGTATGTCGCTGGCGTTTTTGTTAGCTTTGCTCCTAATGGTGACGGTTTTAGCTCGGCGTGCCGCCACAATTACAGCAGAAGTAGACTGAAAAGACAACGGGAGCGGTAAGAAACTGTTTCAGCCATGGTTTAACTGTTTGCTGCCCTGCTGCCCTTTCGGTGAACCCTGTCGACCTACTTCCCCGTTCCTCTCGGTTCTTTGAATGGCTGTCGATGGACGAGACCAATTACGCCGACTTCCTCTGACGAGAAAACTGTGCCCGGGGCTGCGTATTTCTCCTGGGCCACTCTCACCTTTCCTATGTGGGTCACAGGTGTAACCTTGACTGAGTCGCCATTGAATCTCGACCGTCGCCCGGCCTAGACCGGAGAGTCGTGACTGTAAAATAGCTACTAGAGCTTTGGACGGACCTCTTGACTGTTAGTGTAATGACCGGCCAATTAGGAGCCGCGCGAGTGACTCGGACACTATTGTCTATTGACCCGAACGTATGGACTTCCCGACTGATGCGATATCCGATCCCCGCGGCGCTCCTTTGACAAGTGATATTCCTCGTGCCCGCCAGCGGCGCCGGAGAGGTGGCCCACCCGGCCGGCGGTGCAACTAGCCGGGAAATCCGACCCGACGCCGGTGTCCTGTGTCGGAGATGGCGCGCGATATCTCCTGAGCCGGGGTGTCGGGCAGGTCGGTCCGCCTCCTGCCTCTCCGGGCGCTTTCTCTGTCCGGTGGACGGTGAGGTGACGCACCCGACCTGACCCGTCACCCTGTGGTCAGCGGTGCCTTGACGCCTGAGGAGTACCCTCTCGGTCAGTGATGACTAGATGAGGAGCCGCGACTCGAGAATCTGCAAGAAGGTAACAGATGTAACGGTATTGACCGGGGTGGAAGGCGTAGCCGGGAATATTTGTTGCACATTCCCCTAGCGTGAGTTCATTCCATGTCCCTGAATCTCGAGCTGTATGTATGGGCCCATGCATGGGCCCAAACGCACTTCCATGGAAGTGCGTTTACAAAGTCATTGCGAGCGTAAGCGATATCGTTTCATCGACGTGTTCATTAGAAAGTAACAATGCCCGTTATGTTGTAAAGTGCCTACCATTACACCCGACGAAAGTGACCTTTCATATGTAAGAACGAATTTTATCGTACTGAGTTCGTGAAATGCTCTATCAATAGCCTACGTTCAAAGACCTCAGAGGCAATCCGGTGTCAAAATAGTCCGTTTGCCAACACTTATTCAGCGATGTTAATCTCAGCTCCAATCTATACCATGTCCTCACCCTTTCCTGTTGTTCCCGTCAACAGTACCTACAGCACCCGGCGGCCAAAAATAGCCGGTGTGTGTGCCGGGCCCCGCCCGCCGCACCGCTGCAGCCGGCGGGCCGCGGCGGCGCCACCGTCGCCGAGCCGGGCCGCCGCCACCCGCTCTAGGTCAGTGAGCCGGCAGCTGTGCGCGCGTGTTGACGTGGAGCGCGGAGCGACGGAGCGCCGCCGAACCAGCAGCGCCCCGCGGCTGACCCCCGTACACGGAACGGAGACCTTTGAGGTGAGTTCAGGTGGTCCTGGCACTACCTGCTACCGTCAGAGAGTTGTGTGATTCGGTGCCGCGGTCTCATATTATTCCGATACGCCTGAGCGAATCCCGTAATCACTTTGACCTCCACTCGTTGATGGAGCAAAAACAGCGCCATAACTCTCTGGTTACGCGGTGTTGGCTGGCGGTCGCTGGCGGCTAGACCGCCATCCTGTCTGCTATGGACCCCAGTCTGGAAGGAAAGGAGTGGGCTACCGACAAGGAGTGCTTGCTGGTGCCGTTCGTCTGATAGGTCACGGAGGCACATCGACCGTCCCCGGACAACGAGGGACCGCTGACCTGACGCGCTTATGCAAGAGTCGCAGCGATTAGCGGCGTCTTTTACATACCCAATCGCGGCGATCTTACTGCAGCGACGGCACGCCTCCACCTTTCGCGGCGGCTCCACAGAAGGCTGTGGGCCTGGCTGCCAGACAGACCGACTGTGAGCTCGCCTGGTGCGGTCTCCGCTCCGTGCGGCGGCGGCCGGCGGCCCACACCAGACGGCTCCAATGAGTGATGGTCCGTTTTAGGGCGGGCTCTCCCGGAATGGAAGGGCTCTACCGGCCGGCTGTCGCTGGTGGGGATGCTCCGACGTGGCAGTAGCGGTGGCGTGATCTGGTGAGAACTGGATCGGTTGGTGGAGAAAACGAGCGAATTGTGTCTGGTCGGCGGTTTCCTTTATCGCTTTCCGGAGACGTTTTGCCATCGGGAACCTTTCCTGACCTTCCTGCGCGGTGAAATCCCTCGCCGCTGACGTCTGTCTCTGTATCTGCAGCGGACAGGAAGGGAAACGGTCGTTGCAATGCAATGGGTCCTTGCAAACACTAACACTGCAATTGCATGGCTCATGTATCTCCGTCCTGTGGTTCTGGCTGGCAGTAGATGTCGCTCGACTCGTGTTGGGAAGACGTGGTGACATCTGTCAACACTGTCCTGTCCTCGGCTGTCACCGACCGCTCACAAGCTTGACGAATCCGCCACCTTGCAGGCTGGCCCACTCAAATATCCCCGGGCCGGTGCCGGTGCAAATGTCTGCGGGCCACGCGCGGAGGAAAAGGGTCACTTAGTCCTCTCCTGCCGCCACGCAGTAGGCCACTGCTGCTGTGCAAACGGATAGCGTGCACTAAGCAGTTGTGAGGCGAGGGACAGGGCGGTGAACTTGCTGCATAATGTGGCGAGCAGAGGCGAGGCCAGGCGCCTCCCTCCCCGCTCGGAAGGCGTCGGTGCAGATTGAATTCGTCTGATATTGGTGGGCAGTGAGACATCAGGTGACAGGGTACGCCAGTAGGATAAACATGCACGGAATAGAGAGTATGTGCAGCTAGTGCAACTGCAAGTCATCAATGATGCGGGGGTATATTGGAGACTACAGTGTTTGATTTCAGGTATCGTCAGTATGACAGGGACTGCATTGCAGTGGCACCATTCCTGCAAACCTCGGAAACTGTGTCATCGCAGTGTGTTTTTCTGCTCCATCCGGACATTCCGTCCGCTCATCCGTGGCATCCGTATCGCAGAAACAATCCATACTGTTATCGGAGTCGCTCGGCGCCGGCGAAAAACTGGCTTTTCACGTGCCGCCTCTGCTGAACCGGCCCCTGCGCACGGTCCCAGCTAGTGCTGTGCCGTGCACACGCGTGGTATTAACGACAGGCGGAAACGGAACGACTGGGCGCCGATGCTGAGTGGTGGGGTCGGCACGTGACCCGCTCCTGATTGCTGTATCCGGCGTCTCCCGTGAGTCAGACAGTTCCCGGAGTGAGTGCTCCTCTGTGATCAGACCGTTCCGCTGTGTGACCGGGTCACCTGCAGGTCACGGCTGGCGGAACCGGTCCGGCTCCGTCCCGGCTCGGGCCGCCGCCGTATACCGGACCGACCGGACCCGAGCAGAGCGGTGGCGGGACACTGGCTCGGCGGGACACTGGGTCGACGGGCGCGGTCTGAATCAGAGCCCACCGCCGCTGCGCCGGTCCCACGGCCGCGGCGTTCCGCACCAACAGCCCGGCTACTGGTGCCGCCGCAGCACCCGGCCAGTCGCCACAGTCGGCGAAACTCGGACACACGGGCGACACTGGGAACCGAAGCACAACCCGTCATTTCTGGTCACCATGTGTCAGTGTCGGCCGTTTGTTATTAACGGCGTATTTCCCTCCGTGGCTGGGACCGGTTTAGGCCCATCCTCCTTTTGCATACCATCGTTTGGCTCCTCTTGATCGTGTTTTGACGTCATCAGTGTGTTGTAACATCAGCGGCCGGCGGGTGGAGAACTGTGCTCTCCGTCCGTCAGGGAACGGGCCGACGTTCTGCGGAACACGTCTGACCGGATAGGCCAACGAACGCGGCGTCTTGGGCCGCGCAGATGCCCAGTGCGATTCGCCGGGTGGGCGGCTCTGAGTTGGGTATGTTCCGTGCTCGTGTTCGTCCACCGTGCAGCGCGCCACACGCGATGGCGTCAGCTCGTCTGGTTTCATCCTAAAACAATGACGCTCGGCTGTTGCGGCAAATGCGCACGTTTGCACAAATTCCACTTATCGTTGATAACGTGATTAGTGACTAATACCTTGAATAGGTGCGCTGAAGTGAATGAAGCCTGATTCAAGTCGCCCCATCGCGTCATTTTCGCCAGTGTTTACGCTATCGTAACACTAAGAGCGCAGACTATACACCACGCATCGGTTACGCCCCTTATCGGTTCACTGACACACGGACGGCGTGTGACATAACCCGGACAGGAGTCGCGAGAGCCGGGTCCCGGGAGGGGTGTGTTCTGCTCTGCGATTGGTCTGCCGCCGATCACACCACCGTGCGGCGCACCGCGCGCCCTGCGTCACAGACGGTCACACCACGGTCGCGTCACGTCACTTCATTCGGTCACGGCCACCATAATGTTTGTCTGAGCCGGACCAGATTCATACGGACTACCGCTGGTCCCAATTCTGTTTATAACTTTCAGATAAATTGAAACTGTTACAAGTTTCATTTGGGTACGCACTACGTAGTATCGTACGCAACCGTTCCAACCGTATATGTTATAGACCGGACAGACCGTTTTGAATGACCAGTTTTACCCATACGTAT